GGATTTTTTTTTTAGATCGTTTTTAAGGTGTTTGTTCAGGAACATACAACCATTTCCACATATCATTTTATTACAGCAATATCGATTTCGGGGGCACCAGCCTCCCCTCTTCAGTCTACATAGTAAAAATTGCAAGTTACATATTAAGAAATTTTTTTTCCATATGATTGTAAATAAAACAGTTAAATGGTTAAAGTACTTAAATAGACACCTACCTCGTTACAGTTTTAGAAACGCATAAACAAGAAGGTACATATTTGTTATACCATTATACTGGTTACCCTTATTATTTAAGTTATGACATATTCTTTCACTTCCAAGTGGTGTACATTTAATCTACATTTACAAACATTTTTAACCAGCTACATTAAGTCAGTAATCAGTAATAAAAACAAAGACGAAGCACCAACCATAAAGTATTCAAAGACAACTAACAACGAACACGAAAACCTAAACACAAAAATTGACTTACATTTACTACACAGAAAAAGAAATATGCAAACTGACAAAATGATCTAATAAACTTGGGATAAAGACAGCACTCAGGACAAACAAAATCTCAAGGAAACTACTGGAAATCTACTCGATAGACAAAAACAGTGCTTTTAAATTTTGCTCGTTCTCAATAATATTCTAGATTATCAGGTTACTTCAATCTTTTACAACTTTGTTCCATAAAGTCCCCTATATCTCATAAAAATATTAATCCTTCGTTGATTTGATTACACCACAAAATAGCATGGGATTTCAATGTGGACCTACATCTAATAGATGCCCTATGCAAATAGGAAGAAAATTCTGGGATTTACTGGCTCATGGAAAATCTCAGATCATGACGAAAGATCCAATTACGTAACACAATTAACTCATCATCAACGAAACAAATTCAGTAAAGTAATCAAGTGACGATCAGTATATATTTTGATTGATATGTTAAAATGCCGCTTGAGTCAATGTGTCATCCCAATATTTCGGAAATTTTGCACCATTGAATTATGAAGATAACAAGAGGTCCGTTTGACTTATCAACATAATTCCAAAGCCTTTTTCTACGTTCGTATTCCGTTCAAGTCGTAGTTAAATGAAAATAAAAATACGTTACTATTGCTGATTGTCTTCTCTTTGATTTTCTATGTATCAGGGCAAATTGCGGTCCACCTATGCTCATTTATATTGTCTGAAGTGTGGTTTGGACAAATGTAATGGATAAATGTAAAATCCGCCTTCTGATCTCCAATAATAAAATCCGAGAATATTTGTAAATATTGGATATCTATAGTTGACCCTTTCTATCTTCAACATCCTGTAGTGTCGTAATCTTTGATGGTTTAGCAAGATTTCAGTATAACAGCAATTGGAGATAGTGTTATACTGAATTTTTTAGAGGAAAGTAGTGCTTTCGCTTATGTAACTGTTAACAACTTAACTCTTGAAATATTTCAATTATATAATAAACTTTTATTCAATTATTATGGACTAACTTTTTTAATATTTTATTCACTTTTATCACGCGTTTGAATCTATTTATTGATTGTTACTTTAAATATTAATTAATTTTCCAATAGAGACTCTTCTGGCTAATGAAATTTATGCATTTGTACACGCCGGCAATGCCATTTTATGCTGCAACTTTTCCGTCGTACATAGGAAGTTATTTGTGATGTTTCTTTTTATTTGCAACTATGTGTAGAAGTGTTCGCTTATTGCAGCGGGATTTGGCTACCCTGCCAGAAGCAATTGTTCACCAGTTGACCAAAGTTATAAACCATATACACTGTTTTTTTGTTTGTTTTTTTTCAAAAATTACAAAGTATAACTTTTTTTGTATCAATAACTTTGAAATTATGAATGATCATTGTAAATAGAGATTATACATTTTTGAAACACTAATTCGTTAATTTTATGCAAATATAATTTTAAGAAACACTGTGATATTAATGATTAAATTCCCTGATTTATAATCAATTCAGGATTAGACAGCTGATGATCTTTGGTTATCTTCTCTGTTTATACGATGCCTTCCGGCCAATTGGAAATCTTCTGTTTACCACCATAATCATTTAATTACTATTTAAAATATTTTCGGAAGAATGTGTAGATTTTCTAACAATACGATTCGTCAAAATTTTTTAATAATACAATATCTATGCTTCAATCGAATATAGTTGGGCCGAGCATTTGAAAAAAATATTTTTATTACGAGAAAAATCGTCATCCAATCAAATTGTGGTAAGGGCAGATATTTATGGTAAAGGTGTTTGTAAAATCATTAAAACAGTTTTGAATTTTGTCTTGGATTGATAAAATCGAAATTCTAAAATTGCAAAATTGTTCAATATTTGCGTATTCCGTGTTTATGATCGTTTATATCAGTGTATTCTCGCTTTGTTCTCCTTCATATATAAATGATATTCAAAAATGATAAAACATTTTGGCGTAAAAAGTGAAGAATACCTAAAAACCTTGATTTATGCCTTGCTTATAGGTATAACGTTTAATAAGGTATGTAATATCGATGACGCGTTGAAGACGAAATAATTAACCTTCTTTTCAGTAAAAACAGAACATTACGCACTTCGTGCTGCATATAAAATCGCAAAAAACAAATAAATTAATTGTTTATTTAACTCTATTAACTTTTAGCTTTAGTTTTTCAGTAGTTTTTCACTTTCTAACTTTACTCTGTATTTCTATTTTTATGCAAGTTGAATACTACATTTTATACTAAATATAGTTATTCAAAAATCGTGAAATGCGGTCTGGTGTGATGTAGGTTTCAGAAAAACATTTTCTTTATCGTGCCAACGTTTCTATCTTTTCTAGTTGATAGTGATCGACCTCCGTAGTTTAAATTGATGTATTGGATCTTCTTGAGGTCATTTTACAGGTGAATAAAAAACATCACTATTGGGTTTCACCAAGCTTTCGGCGAATTGTAACGCCATCTTCAGGGCCTAATTTATTGAAAACAAATTTATATTAACAGGATTACATAAAACATCATATACTCATACGTTATAAGAATAAAATTACGTACTTCACCCAGTTTTTTAAGACAATTTATGGAAACATTGGAATTTACAGCAATGAATGGATACTTTAAATTTGAGGATGAGATTTACAAACAAAAGGATGGTGTGGCCATGGGTGGAGTGTTGTCTCCTGTCCTGGCCGACCTGGTTATGACCGACCTTTTGGAGTGGGTTCTGTTACAATTGCCGTTTGAAGTTAAATTATTATTAAAATATGT